TAGCTAATGAATGTTTCCATGGTGACCAACGGCAACATGACAACGTTTTCATTGGTCCCTCTTCTTTAGAGAAGACCAGGAAATGATGGATACACGGATCGTGTTCAAATCAATAGGCACGCAATGACTCTAAATAATAATGATCACGCCACCAAACACACATTCAGACTAAAGGAACCAGCCTGTTTTTCAACATGTAAGAAGTAGAAAGTACAGGTATTTGAGTTCAACATGTAAGAAGTAGAAAGTACAGGTATTTGAGTTCAACATGTAAGAAGTAGAAAGTACAGGTATTTGAGTTCAACATGTAAGAAGTAGAAAGTACAGGTATTTGTGTTCAACATGTAAGAAGTAGAAAGTACAGGTATTTGAGTTCAACATGTAAGAAGTAGAAAGTACAGGTATTTGAGTTCAACATGTAAGAAGTAGAAAGTACAGGTATTTGAGTTCAACATGTAAGAAGTAGAAAGTACAGGTATTTGAGTTCAACATGTAAGAAGTAGAAAGTACAGGTATTTGAGTTCAACATGTAAGAAGTAGAAGTAAAAAGTCCTCAGAAAAATAAGCAGTGGAGTAAAGTACTGATACCAGAAACATGTACTTAAGTACAGTAACAAAGTATTAGTACTCCACTACTTCCCACCTCTGCACAAATACAATAAACACAGTAATAATACTTCTGTACACGAACGTAACAGATTCAAAAAGTACAGCACCTGTTCGGCGGCGTGTTTCTTCAGGATGTTCCCGGCGCCCGTCATGATCCTGGTGGCCTGGCAGCGGTAGAACGCTCTGCTCTTCTGCTGCTGGCTCAGAACCTGGTAGTTGGCGAGCTCCATCAGCTGCTCCATCTCCCTCTCGGGGTGTTTCTGCTTCAGCTCCTTCAGGATCCGGGACACCTCTCTGCGCGACTCCTCCTCGTCCAGCTCCTTGAACTCCAACTCTTCTCCTCCGTGGGAGAAGTTCAGCATCTTCCCGTCCATCTCCACGGCCATCTTTGACGGCAGCTCCAACGGTTCTCCCTCCGTCTCGATGATCACTCCCTTCCTCTTCCCGGCCCGGTAGCGTTTGTACATGTACTTGTAGAAGAGGAGTCTGCGGTCGGCCACGTAGGCGAACCCGACGCATATCGGGAAGAAGGCGAGAGTGACGAGCCCCTCCCAGATCTGAACCACCCCCGGGGAGAAGACGGCGAGGATCAGGTAGAGCCAGATGTAGGCGAACACGCTCCAGGTGGCGGTGACGAAGAACACCCGGAGGTGCTTCACCTTCCTGGTTTCTCCGTCGGGAATCACGGACACGCAGAGGCCGATGATGACGAACATGTTGAAGGCGGCGCTGCCCACGATGGTGTTGGGTCCGAGCTGTCCGGCGTTGAACCCGTGACCGCAGACCTCCACCACCGAGAGCAGGATCTCCGGAGCAGAGGAACCCAGAGCCATCAGCGTCAGGTTGGACACCGTCTCGTTCCAGACGCGCACCTGAAATAGGAAAATATTAAACTCACTTGCTTTAATCCAAACTGTTTTCACCGAGGGCCACATACAGAAAGCTATACGAAGGTGTGGGCCGCTCACTAGAGGTGTGTCGCCTCATAAGTTAAGTTAGAAAACTCAATCCAATGTAGGCAAATTATTCTGGACACTTGAAATGCTGTTAGAAAAAACATGAATACAGTTTAATATATTTGAACATACATATTTAAGCGGTACAATATAAGACAAGCAGAAGTTTATTTTACTCTTTTAATTTGCTGAGGGCCGATTCAAAATGGCCCCCGGGCCGTAGTTTGGACACCCCTGCTTTAAAGGTCCCCTAATGCAGGGGTTCCCAAACTTTTCAGCCCGCGACCCCCAAAATAACAGTGCCAGAGACTGGAGACCCCGGTCCAATTATTTTAGTTTAGTTTTCCGCACTCTCGCGGGAATATCTCCACAATGGAGAGTTTCACTTTCGATTGCATGATATAGCCCATAGAGTAGTCTACATTTCATAAGAGGTGTAAAACCTGAGAGCATTTTAAATCTTATTTAAACGAAAGGCTGATATAATCTGTAGTTGTATTTGTTTTGTTGATGTAATGTTCGAACGAGGCGATGTAGAGAAGTTAAGCTGTCATTATTAGGCTGTCCTTTGCTATGTGCTGTTGGAGTGGTGAGCAGGCCTTTTGTCTTTGGATATGTGTGGAGGTGGTCCGTGAGTGTTTCTGATTGGTTAAGAGTCCTTGGTATGAAAAGGTTTGAGAAACACTGTGCTAGTGGATTGTCAACGGGGGGAGCCTCGCTGTGGGGAAATTCTACAGATGGCCAGTCCGCCCCTGAAAAAATGTCTATGCACACGTTATTATTAATAATAAAAAAATAAAAATTATTATTTTTAATTTTCAATTTTTATTTTGTAATCATTTTGCGACCCCCACTTTGGGAACCCCTTTCCTATTGTACTGTTGCTCATCAATATCTCACAGGTCTCAGATATATCCAGAGCCTGTCTCTGATTGGCTGAAACACCAAACAGATCATTGCAGCATTACCCATAATCCCCTCTGTTTCAGCCCTGTTTCCAAAGTGCTGATTCTCTGTCTGTTACTTTAGATGAAAATAAGGAGCCCCTCCCCACGCCCCTCTGAGAGACATTTGGTTACAAAGAACTCAATGGAGCTCTA